AAGAGGCTGTTAAAACAACAGATGGCTTTTCGGTGCTTCACACCTCCAAATCTATAGCATTAAGTAGTCAAAATAAAACCTGCAGAGGAATTCAGCTCCCTTCCGAGGCCACCTTGAGAAGAGTGGCAGGGGACACACAGGGCTTAAGCCACACTTGATGGACATCAAACCACAATGACCCCTCTCTGCCACACGACTTGGATGACCTCTGTTCTTACACATAAAGCTCATATGCTGCTTATTTACTGTCTTACGTCCGTGCTTTTTTAGCTTACATCTTTGAGCAGAACATGACATGGGTCTCCAGGATTTACAGCGTTTGACAACCGGCTCAGAAACGCAGCAGTCTTTACAGAGGGACGCTAGGCGTCCTATTACCTGGAGCTTAACGCCATGGAGGGGCATGTGCAGCTTTCCTCTATAAATCAAGCTGCATCTACCTCGCCATAAATCTATAGATTACATCTCCTCAGTCAATAAATTCTTTCAGTCTTTCATTTGTGCTGCCCTTGTCCTGACACTAACTAGGATCAAACCAAAGCACAGGCTCAGCAGAAAACAAAAACCTTGGATTCTCTTGTTAGCACTTAACTTTAATCACGCATCAGTGTTCCTGCCCTGCAACAGACATCAGGCTTCCGCCGGGTGCCTCCGTTCTGAAAGACACACAACTGTCAAGTTCACGGTGGCTCTGCCAGACAGCCACCTACCTTCATTTACTGAATTCCCTGTCAGTCAGACAGGAGCATTCAGTAAAGACTGACTGCCGAATGCAGATCACTGTAATGCACTGCGGGAAGGCAGGGGAGGAACGCAACACATAAAGCTGTTCTTCACAGAGCATGCAGTAACAAGGCAAAAGGCACACGCGTTAACTAAGCACCTAACCTTAACCAAGACTGATGACAGCCCTTTACTTCCAGTCCCCAAAAACTACTGAATCCCCTTAAACTACTTCCTAAGTTACCATTCCCATTTTACATACGCAAAAACTAAGACTAGATGATACCTTATTGCTTCTCCTAAGGCACGTTACTGATTAAACGGATATGTGTGAAACCCAGCTGAGGTCTTCTTCAGTTTTACCTCCTCAAAAGAAAGAATTCAAATCAACTACTGTGTATGCTGTGTTCTAACCCCACCTCATGCCGTGAATCTGACAGTTCCCGTGGATCAGTTCCTTTGATTAATCCATGTAGAATCATTTCCTACAGATTAGACAGCAGAATTCTGGGCACTGGGTAGCAAGAAGGAGTCGTAATAATCACTTCCTGATCAGAGATTCAGTTCACCTTTGGTGAAATTAATATTTGCAGGGTTTTTTTTCTCTATGAATCCAAAGATTTAGTGTATATTCTACTGGTGTGGTGCATATTCCACTGAAGATCATTGAAAAAGAGATTCGTGGGTTGGGGAGAGAAAAGGAAAGAAGCACAAACGGCAGAAGAGGGGTCAGTGTTTTTTTAACTGAAGCCATGAAAAAATGAAAGAAGGCTCGGGAGGGTCAATTCAGGTCTGAAGACTGTGTATCTTCACCTGCCAGTGACTCAAGTGTCCACATGAGCATCTATGAAGCCATCCACGGCCAACACTGGGCTCTACTCTAACCCTACTGGGATGCGCTTGATGCAACATCCAGCAGGTTGACCAAGGGTGACAGAAGCTACTCCATCTTAAGCATTCCATTTGCCCCTCATCTCTGGCAGCCCTGGATGTTGGGTAACAATTCTGAGTCAAAGGACCTGAGCAGACTGAAGCTTTGATTCCAGCTTGTTAGAAATCAGCCACCATTCCTGCAGGAGTGGCATTTTACAGTATCATTATTAGTTGACACCCTGTTATGATAAGAAGCATAAGACCATGAGCATGAAAACCTTCAACATTTAGAAGGAAGAACAGGCCCAGTCCCCTACCGCCCTAACACACACAGGCATGCAAAAAAGGAAACAGCAAAAAACAAAACAAAACAAAAACACCTGTCTTACTATTATCTGTAACAAAGCAAAATTATTTTATAAATGTCTCATTAATGGTGACTCTACATAGCAAACATAGATGCCAAATGGAAATTTTCCCCATTGTTGTTACATAAGATCAAAAACCTGTCAGTCTTTTCCTACTTTGGTGTGTTATCTAAACTGACTGGTTTCAGAGCATAAAAGACTGTATTCACAAGGACAGACATGGTTTCTCAGTTTCAAAATGTCTTTTCCTGTGGGGGTATTTTAGAACTTAAGGGCTCTCATTGGGGTGAGATACTGCACAGGGGATACTGTACCGGGAGAAAGAAGGACTCCCTGACGTCCTACCATGCACGCAGTTACCCACCGTGACACCGTGCTGGGAAGTCCCCACCAAATTTCTCTTTAGAACAACGTCTGTGGGCAAGGCTGCCTTTCTAAAATATATCTGAATAGGGAAAATGTCATATAAATGTATGTCTGAGTATCAAAAAGCACCGTTTTAAATGTGTTATACCTCTATAGATAGCTCGTCCACCAGCGAGTTTTTCAGGTTCTCCTTCTTTCATATATCCCTAACTACAACTCTCT